AAATCTCCATCACGTGCGTTCAGATGGAGCGGCATTTACTACACAGAGCATGCTTTACTGACAAGCTACGCAATATCACGTTCATAATCGAAGGCGATTCAAGCGGATAAAGAAAACAAAGAAAACTACAGCATAACAGACTGTTAAGAAAATAAACCTCCTCTTAACCAAACACTGGGTGACAGTCTGGTTGCTATTGTGTGTGTGTGTACATATGTACGTGGGTGTGTGGGTAAGGCTTTGTTTAAATCTGACCTCATCTCCCATATATGGCTGGAACTCAAATTTAACAGGCGGGCAGAAAGCGGTAGGGTACATTTCCATGAAGCGCTGGCGGTCACTACGGGGGTCCAGACTGTCCACCGCGTTCTCAATGATGTCCAGGCCCTCGTGACGAGACGTCTCCAGGTTATATTCGGCCGAGAGGTAGGTCCGCAGAGCCCGGTTCAGAGAGGCATGATATCCCAGATCACAACACTACACCGGAAAAAAGAGAGAAACGTTACAAAAAATATATAAATAATGGGCAAAGAATCTCTTTAAGTAATACTGTATATGCTGCATTCAAATAATGGTGTGTCTTACTTCCAAAACAAGTGAAGAAGCTTTTAAGCACTAGTGCAACAAAAAGAAGAGCAACGGATGCAGTACACTATCAACTCATAAATTAGGTAAATATGTAGCATTTTTCTGGCAAGCTGCATCCCAATTTGTCATTTACAATAGTGAAAATCTATACAAAAGTCATTTTTAATTGTGAAATGTGATTTAAAAGCAGCATAAGAAGTCAGTTAATTGACACATTTTAAACAAAGTGTAGTAAAATTTAAAGTGACAGTACGCATTGAACAGACAGTTCAAACCTCAAAGACTCAAACCTACAACCTATTGGTTACCAGCCAAGATCTGTAACCACATGGTCACTTTCATCATGTCTTACTCACAGCTAATATCTGAGATTCCAAACACATTAATACCAATGTCAAAGTATGACATACTGGTCTATCAGCAACTGTGGCTTTGGGAATATTTGTGTCCCCGTGTCTGACCGTTCCTACATGACCTAATACATACTGACTGTGCTCTGGTGGTCTGTGTGCTGTCTTTATAAGGCCTTGGACTCTGAGGACTTGTGCAAAACAGCCCGGTAGCCTAGTTGTTCAAGGCTAAGCATAGACTGGCAGGAATTTCCATAATTTGATTTTGACTCTGATATGAGAGTCATGGGGAACTGAAATGCAAAAAGATGTCCTGGATAATAAAATATGGGGGAGAACTGCGCCGTCCTTGGGGAGGTTATTTAAGTTCTGATGGTGCGAGTCACTGGAAGATCTGCCAGATCTCGACTCCCAAAGCATCTGCAAACTTCCAAAGTCCATTTTATTTAATTATCACGATGGCTTGCTCTGTCTGTCAGACTGCAGATTGTTTTAAGCATTTGGATGCCCTTTGTTCATTAAAATGGTGCGGTTCTTGTGCCAGAGCTCAAATTGAGAGTCAAATTATGCACTGACTTGCACCTTCTTTAGGGTTTTTGGGGCTTGAAAAAATAAAATAAAATAAAATAAAATAAAACATGGTTTAGTATCAATAAGCCCATGCAGAAGTATCCATTAGTTTGTTAGCAGTATACAGTTGCAAAAACGTCTTTATACAAGACAAAATTTTAACCAGACAAGGTCAAGCTCTTTCTCTTCTGAAGAAATGTCTGAAAAACTGACTGCATGCATATATTATCACCAAAACACTGTCACCCCCCTGCAGAGAGTTTTTTGTTTCTTAGATGAAATTCATATTGCTGGATATTCAGTTCTTAAATAAATGATGCTGAGATGATTTAACAATGATTCAGGCTGTAGAACAGTGAAGAAGGAGTACTCAGCAGGGTGAAACATGAAAAAGGTACATTGTAGCATACAGTAGTTGACCTAAAAAGAGTCAGACATCCTGATTCACAGAAAACTGGGTTTTAGGGCTGGGTGCCACTTCCTCGCCATTCATGCTAAAAAATGTTTTGCCATATTCAAAAGCTGGAGGACATACAGTACCTTAATATAAAAGTAGGACAACAGCCACTTCATACAAAATAACATAAAGGGGGTACAAAAAAAATAATAATTTAATATTCTCAACTATATATAGGTGAACTAACGTTATTTATATCATCTCAAATAATGCTAGAACTTGTGGAGTGCTGCTATCATATCATTATCAACAAAGTGAAAATGAAATTGTAAAATTAATGCAAATGATCCCCTCAAATTCAAAATGCAAAATAAAAGCTTTTTCATTTGGTCTCAAACTTTTGGAAAAGGACTCTTGTTTCTCCACCCTCGTTTAAACCACCATTATTTTCTTTGCTTATCCTCTATGCCGAGGATAATTTTTACCACCTCATTCTCCACAGACGTTATGTTAAGCTCCTCATTCTCTCTCAAACGAATGCATTTGACAATAAGGCCTTCAGAAAACGTCTTTAAAACAGGTTTGTGTGGTTATTTGGAGATATGGAGATGAATGCAATTTAACCCCAGTGTATTTTTTAAAACATCTCATTCCTGTCAGACACACCTGCATGTGAAGTCTCAAGAGCTTAGATTTGAATGCAACATTGACAGAGCTCTCGCTGAGGAGTCTATGCATTTCCTCAGATCAAAGCAGGTGTAGACAAAGATGCATATTCAACCAAGAAACCGATGAAAACGGCAGCAGTCTTTGTCATATTTAGCTGTCCCAGCAGACCTGAGGTCAGTTTGAAACTCTATTTATAACTGTCCTACTTGTCACACAAAGTTTCTTCATCTGTGGAAGAATCCCTGAACCTCCTTTTCATTCCCCAGTACTTACGTCTATTAAATCAGACAAGTCGTGAATGTAATACTTGAAGATTGAAGCATTAGAGGCTTCGAGCGTCAGCAGGTATTCGTTCCGAGCTTTGATCGACTTCAGCTTGTTCTCCGAGTACTTGGCCTGCCTCTGATGAGAGAGAGAGAGAGAGAGAGAGAGAGAGAGAGAGAGAGAGCATAGAAGCAAAACAGAATTTGAGAAAATGGGTTGAAATATAAAAACATGCAAGCAAGCTTTTATCTCTGCATGCAGTCTGTCCCTTCAAGATTTCTTGCGAAGTGACAAGGAACAAATGCATCCAAAAATAAACCAACGAAGACATATAAGCACATAAACAGCAAAAATCACTATACAGACATATATAGACTAATATGGTACATCTGTGTGGCTACAAAAAATCTTAAAGAACAAGTATTGCTCATTTCCTGTATCAGTAAGGATATTACTAACAGTCAGACCCACTTAGTCGACTAATTCAACTGACTGACCAACAGACAGTGACTCACTCTAACTTCCATATTTTAACCATCCCACAATGTCTCGTTCCAGGAAGTATCCATGGAAAAAACAATCCCACAGCTGTTAAATCATTTGTCACGGGTTTTAACAGAAAACAGATACACTAAGATCATAAAACGTTGCCATTCCTGTGAAAGCGGGGTCAGGCATGTCTTCTATCAAAACATGTCTGGCGCATAAAACTTAGGTGCAGAAGGAAGTTCATTCATCATCATCATAATAATAATAATAATAATAACAACAACAATAATATCTACTTTTTTATTGTTTGCCATTTTATTGTTTTCTGTTTTGTTTATTCTTAGCATTACATGTTCTGTTGTGCTTTAGGTACGGTATGAGAAAGCACATTACAAACAATAGAATATGGGTCATATTTCCCACAAAATAAAAAGAAATAAGACATTACATTTTGTATAAATTAATTTAGGCCTATTTTTTAGGATTTTAGTATTATTTACTGTGAACTTGTTTACGAAAATTAAAAATAAAAATAAAATAAAATATGTGTGTGCATATATATATATATATATATTTTTTTTTTTATATATATATATAAATTTTGATAATTTTTCAAAAATAAGTAATTTTGCTTCTCAAGTAAATGCATCTTGTTTTGAGAATGTTTAGACATTTGAACTGGAAAACAAGTCAAAAATACTAAGAAGGTTTTTTTTTTTTTTTGCAGTGTCTCACAATTCCAGGATAATTAATTAATTCATTATATTTATATAGCGCTTTTCTAGGCACTCAAAGAGCTTTACATTGTCAGGGGGTATCTCCTCATCCACCACCAGTGTGCAGCATCCACCTGGA